CCCCGCACACCTATTCCTGACGAGCCAGGTATTCGCACTCGATCTGGTCGCTTGGTAGTACCACCTGAACGATTAATTTTGTAACTTTTTGTTTTGATTACTGTTATGTATTAGGATAATTAGTTTTTATTTTTTTTGTATTATTTGTCTATATTGTGGAGGAAGAAGTATTATTGAGAAAAATAATGTTACAAACAAATGTTGTGAATTCTCTAGTTTACAATATTTCTCGAAATTCAATGCTATGTGTATAATTATAACATTGTACGCTGGTACCTCGCATAGTCTATCCTGTATTGATATGTCTTGTTGTCAAATCTTCTACAAGTTGTATTTTTATATTATACTCATACCACCTGTGTGGTCAATTTAAGCGGGGAGGGATGTAATATATGTATTGTTCTTGTCGGTAGAAGATTATAATGTTTTCGGCATGTACCCTCGTCTAATGAATCAGTCAATAAATGGCGGTTGTACTATTCAACGCGTTTTAATATCTGCTCCCGAATCCCTCAAATAGTGAAGGACATAACAAACATTATTATCAGACACTAAATAGCACGACACAAAATGGAACCTACACAATTTTGTCCAATACTCTGTTTTTAAAACAGTTATAATGGCGAGCAAAGGAAATCACGGCAATAAACATTTGAATGGAGCAAACCTTTCGTCCGCACCACAACCTCGATGGCCCTTAAATGAAATGCCGTAGTTAAATGCACGCATGAGCACATGCGCGGCCCTACCCACAGCAGAGGGCCCAAACCCATGGGTTTTGCCTTGCCCACCGGTTTTGCGTCAGATGAAGCTTTTATAGTCTCGGGACTGAAAGCACAAGCATCAGTTAATACAAGATACAAGGACTGAAACCGTAATATAAGTTACATAAATACAAATACATTAGGTAGTGATCTCGTATTACCGCAAAACAGTTGGAGGAGAGGGGTCTTTTCCCAGCAACGTACTCAGGTATTGTATTCCTTCCATAAGAAATCCCGGTGCTATGTTGGGTGGTGCATGGTGAGGAAATTGAAGTGGGTAAAAATTGTACATAATCCTAAATCTAATATATAAAATTCTCGTGTCACGGTGTTTGTAATTGAACTCCTCCGAAACGGCACCACCGATTCTCCTAAAGTTTTGTATGCATATCGGCTAGGGTAGAGAATCGGCCAACATCTATTTTTCATTCAGCTAGTATTTTATAAAGAGACGGGATATCTTTAAAGATAACACACTGCCATTAAAAACAAATAGGCTTTTACTTCTAATAAATTAAAAACAATCCATTTCTTTAAGGTTTATTGATTATTTTCTGGGTAAGAGACAATAATATTGAATCATATATTGAAAGAAAATTATTATCTATGGTCTAACAATTCACATAAATATATTTCTGTAACTACAGAGAAATAAATCTTTGTGTAACTGTACAAATGAATTTGAACTGTTTTCTTCAATAAACTATATGCTAATTCCATTTGAAACGACAAGTAAATTATTAGGAAAACTGTGTATGTATGTATGGTGTAGTTTTCATTACGTATCTAATACGTGCGGCTAAACGCTCGCAAACCGAAAACAATATTCAACATCGAAATCTATAAAGCATTAGTTTACATCGGACAATGCTTGCCTGAACACATATACTACGAAATGGAATATTTTTTATGTGAAAGAGATTATAACACACTATTTTTTCCTCTCTGTCAAATAAAATGTTTTATCCACATAGTTTTGTGTATACGCGAAGAATAAGCGTGTCCATACAAACTTTGAATTGTCGACAACCATACATTATTGGGGAACATCATACAAAATGGGTATTGTCAATGTCAGCCGCATTACTGTCTTTAAATAGGTTATATAAAATGAATAAGTTCACACCGATATGTATACGTTATTTAGCACCTAATTTAAAGCAGTGTCTACTTTAACATACGAATGTTGCGTTACAGATACAAGCTTTTCACAAATAACATTAAACATTTATTTCTCTAATAAAATATATAGAGTATAGTCTACTACGGTTTAATGCCTAATATACTAATAGATCCATACATGCTACAGGAATTGTATATAGATATAGTGTCGACTACCACAATGACTATATAATAACTGTTAGGAAAAAGGTATGTCGGAAGACAATAAAATAATAAAATAATTCCTTGCACAGTTGGAAAACGGAAAAAAATATTATACTAATGAATAATTAATTAAAATTAGAACAGATTATCTAACTGTCATTCAGATTCACATTAGAGTTGCCTAAGAACAAAACATTTTATATAAGATATTTATACAAAATTTTAAAATTGATCACATTCATCATCTAATCATTAGTTTTAATATACTCAATTTTATTATATTTTTAAACTAGTTACTAAAACTAAGGCGTAATCATAAGTTTCAGCTTCTAAAAGATTTTACCTTCCTAAATCAGTATTTTGAGAATCGGCAATGATAACATACTGTATTCATCGGATATATTTTGAAAGTATGTCAACAAATAATATCAATAATGGATTTACATATTTAAAATTTATTTTTTTAAATTTACGATGTATCGTAAGATGCATCTTAGGCCTGTGGTATAAAAATTAACAATTATAATGTTTTAATAACATAGAAATAAAATAAAAAAAAAAAATAATTTTAAATATATTTTTAGTAACGGATTGTCACATTTTAAATTTTATTTTTAAAATTTACGATGTATCGTAAGATGCATCTTAGGCCTGTGGTAAAAAAAATAAACTTGCCAATAACTTAAATGCATTCAAATCATAAATAAGACATTATATTCTGAAATTTTCTGATTCAAAAATTGCAATAATACAAATATAGCAACTCTTACATTACACGCCTTAGGCATTTAAAGATATTTATTTATACGTCAGTAATGCTAGCAAAGATGTAATACTTTAAATAAATTTAACTCAATAAATAAGTCATAGATGGAATTTTTTATTCATTTTCTAATTTCGTGTTTGGTTTTTTGTAATAAGCTTCTAAGGTTTAATTATTTTTGTAAGAACGTTTTATTTAACAAAATAATGTAATTTTTGTTCCTTGAGCTTAGTTTTTCATCTAAATTAAGATCGTTAAATTTTGAATCTTATTATGTACCTATTTAATCATCTATGTACCTATAGATAAATTAACCTAATCAATTATTTTATACTAATATAATACTTGCAAATATTTGAATTAATTTAACAAAAGCGTTCTTCTAATAAAGATTTATTACAAGAATACGTGTATTGAATTTTAAATAACTAACAAAAATTACGTTCGTCTTAATATGACATTACCATTCACTTTAATACGACATTCATATAGTCCAATTTATTCAAAGCAACTAAGCATTACATTGATTAAAACAATAAAAGCCAGAGGAAATTAAACCATAATACTTACATTTATACAATTAGGAAATATTTTTTTCATTTATTATGTTACATTAAACTAATTAAAGCTATCCCATACAACTTCTCAAATTGTGCTAAATTTAACAAGAAAGCAAGTGTGGGTGCACATTCCTTTTAGTACCTACATAAATTAACATTCGATTATAAAACTTTCATAGACATGTAAGTTGCTTTAGTATAACAAATAGTTCATATTCCCAGCACTTTCCCAACTCGTTGAAGGATAGTAATTGACAATCACATTTTAAATATTTTATAGCTAGGTAACACTTTCATAATGTGTATACATATACTTTGACTATACTCATAAGATGATTTCGTTTAAAGCATGCAACGGGATATACGTAAGTATTATTATAGCATAAATTGATAAAGATTTATTAAAATAAATCACTTTGATTGTAAAATTTGATGCAATTTAAATAAAACGATTTATAGACAAGAATAAATAAATTACCGTAACTTTGCAGCACAGCAACGAGATTAGATAAAGAAAAGACTTCTTTTAATTTTTTCTAGTGCGCTTGGGTGTAAATATAATATATAATTAATATTCTGAAATTCCACATAAATTTCTTACACAACTATTTATAAATCTTACAATATATAGATTTTTTATATATATGTACGTACATAGAAAAGTCTATTTAATGTTAAAAATATCGTGATTATCTATTCATAAGAAGGGATTATTTACAAAATATAATACTATTATTTGATCGAGTCATAAGATTTTGGAGAGTTCATAAGATTTTCAAGTGGTACGAATTATAGCTTTCTAATCACAAACAGTCGTAAATACACTGATAAAATTTGTCTCGCGAAGACGCTAGACACTAAAATAATATTATAATATGTAAACATCTAAAATTTTTCTACAGTTAAGATATGTATTATTTTCTATATGAGCAGAGGCACACATTGATATGTATAGTGATTTATTAAAACTGTGGCGTGTAAGCAACACCTTACCAATAAAAGCTGACCTATCAACATTTTTCTAATAAACATCAAACACACAAAAGCTACACATTGAAATCTCACCAATTGTAAGTATGAACACATTAAACACAAACGACAATGACCACAAAATGTTAAAGGTTAATAAATAATTGATACAATTAATAATATAAAAACATGTGTTTAAAGATAAACTAAAACTTAAAAACCAATATATCATAGAAAATGAATTAGTAGGTAATTCAAATTATCTACTTTATAAAGTAAAGTATTTATTACATATAAAGATAACCAATGCTTTCAAATTTTATTTATCATCCGTTTACCCTTTTTAAGTTCCATTCAATCGTCAATAACCCGAAGTAACATACTCGTAGTTGGTACTCCATTGGTCTCTCCACTTTTACTTCTCATTTTCCTTTTCTTATTTGAGAAGGCTCGCCGATCCTTCCAATTATATATATCGATCACCGTCAAAACAAATGTAAGATACCTAAAACGCATACAAGAGACCAAAGGCCATTTATTATTTTTATAATGCTTAAGAATTAAGCGGGATATAATTAAGACTCAAACGAACACTAAACAACCGTTTGTTGATGTTTACAAAGCGGCGGTTGTGGCTAACGTTGTAAGAAGGACTATGGGCAGGCTCGTCCCTGCTACGCTGCTGTAGGGACCTGTCACTGCCCCATCGCAAGGCACGCGCTCCAGTTCTGCAAAAATGGATTTACTAGAGATACTCCGCCGAAGGAATTAATACTTTAATTTAAATTCGCGAACAGTTCACAACTAAATGATCTTATATTTCAGTTTGGTTCGACAGATGCAGAATGAAATTTTAGTATCAGGTGGCCGCTTGAATTTCACAATATAAATTCTAGATTCCCAGGCTGATTGGAGAAAACATTATTGAAACATATAAAAATACAGTCGAATTATGAACCTCCTGCTTTTATGAAGTCAGTTAATAAACGATAGTGTTTGCGAAACAAGTTTCACTCCTTATACGTGTTTCTATTTGCTTAAACAAATAAACCCACCGTTGAGCTTATTCAAGAAGTCGTTCCAAAAGGCGCAGGCGGACGCACGTGGCCCCCTGGGTCCGGCTGGGCCACTGGGGCCGTCTGCCGTGTACGTGTAGTAGTGAGGTGACGTACGAGAGTACAAAGGCCACTTCTCATCGGGCTTGTGAGGCTTCCTGTAAATTGAATAGGAACACAGAGTAAAGTTCATAGATCCTACATATCCCACTGCTGGGCAAAGGCTTCCTCTGTACAGAGGGTATTACGGTAGTGTGACAAGTTTTTGTGGATACGTGCAGGAAAAAGAAACATTGTTATGAAAATACGCCGATTTGGACTCAGGTTGCATAAGTATTAAAATTAACCTTTCCATAAGGAAGGGGTTATTCGACTCCTCAAGGGGGCGCCTTTGTGATTCCCTTCTCCATAAAGATGCAAACCGGTACTTTGGATTCAGGTTCGATCAAAGCCTATGGAATGTTACTGGGAATACGTTTCTATTAAATAATTAAGGATTGCCTCATATTGATGCTCTATCTGTATAGTATACTGTGATAGGCAGGAAACCTATTCCGCTTAGAACCTAGAAGCTCGGTAAATAACGGTTACCGATAACTGTACTCATATCTTCCTTATTACATTCTGTTTATTAAACTGTATTATTGACTGAAGTATTGTTATCAATGCACGTATCAGTGTTTTAAAAACTGATACTCAAATAAAACGGTCAGAGTATGAATTATCTATTGTACTTATATTAAAATAATGTAACTCCCTATATGTGCTTCAGCTTTCAAACTATGAGCTATGAATTTTGTTGTGTTTAATATGGCTCTAAATCTTAAAATTTTATCCCTTGTGCTCTTTGTTTTGCAATTGATAAGTTTATCATATCGAATTTTGTTGGTGGTGTGCGCGCGATTCTTAAAAATTTCTCACATTTTTTCCAAACGATCCAAATGGAGTATAACTTCATAAAATTAAGAAAATGTAATATTAATATATAAAAATTCAGCCTTAGTAAATTCATTTCATTACCAACGTAATTATAACACGTTTCATAACAAATATGAGATACTTGTTCTACAGTTCGCTTGACTAACTATAGTATGCGTGTGTGACAACTATTATAACCAACTGGCAGAGAATCAGCTATAGTAGATTCAGAGCGTTTGTTGTTGTGGCTCTTGGTCTATGACGTTGATATTACATAACAGCGGTGATATTTCACATTAATGTATGAGTTAGGTAAGCAGCCTTTACGGCTTCATCAAAAGAATTGTGCGCGTTTCCATTTCTTAACCAGATAAGACCTAATTATATTAAAATTTTTACATGCTGCTCGAGTAAGCTTTATCCTTTCTGATAGGTACTGTATCCCAGGATAGTCATAGACTATGTTTTTGACAAATTATTTATAAGGTGTCTGTGTGTATGTCCTTAAGCGGAAAATTTGTTTCAAAGATATTGAAAGAGTTGAATGTTCTATTTGTCATTTTTACGATTATGAACAATACACCTTTTTCGTTTTATCTTAAGATCAGTTTCAATCATCTTTATCATAATCATCATTATTTCAGCCTGTTCAAGTCCATTGTTGAACACTATAGATGGGTGGCGAACCTAGGCCCCCTTCATTCATCGACTTCCCGCACATTTGCACAGGCCATCACTCCATCTAGTGGGTCGTAGTATACTGCGATAACCAATACGAGGCAGCCACTCGAGAAACTTTATTCATTGGTTATCGGTTCTTCGAGATATATGGTTAAATAAAAATCGGGAATTAAAATTAAAAATAAACGCGATAAATCCGTAAAATTAGTTTCATTTATAATGTGTAATCGCGTAAGTAAAATATAATATGGTTAAATTTCAATAACTATTATTAAATATTGGAAAAGGTTTTTTTTATGTGAAAGTTGTCAAGCGAGCAAACGGTTCACCTAATGTTAAGTGTATACCGCCGCCCATAGACATTTGCAACACCCGAGGGTTGAAGATGCGTTGACAACCTTTTGAAAATTGCGCTCCGGCCACCTCACTCACCAGACGAAACGCAAATGTATTATACTTCCACTTTACGCCGGTCTTCTGTGAGGGCGTGGTACTTACCCGGACGAGCCTGTGGTAGGGCAACGCAGCAACCTCTATAAGGTCGTCTGGTATGGAACTATTACTTTAAAACGCATAAAATAAATTTGGACGAGATTTATAGTGTAACTAATGATCGAATCTAAAGGTTTTGAGTGGGTGGTATGTGTGTATGAAATATATTCTAAGCCTGATTCGAACTTTGCTTTTTATATTTAATACCTTTGACTTCAAGGCACGTACCACAACATATCTTCACGTGAGAATGCCAGCTGGCATTACATCCGCCCTTTGAAAAACCCTTTTTGAGATATTGCAATATAGTATAGATAAATAAATGCATAAATAGATTATTAGACTTACCCGGTCAAAGCAAATCTGGTGAAAGACTGCATGATGTGAGTGGCTAGGTCCCGTTCGCGAGTGTGATACTGCAAGGACATGTTCAGAGGGTGGCCGAAAACATACTCCATCTCGTCTCCATGCATAACCCCCATCCATTCACCCCACAGGCTGGTGCTGGTCCGCTGAAAATACGTCAATACAATTATACGATTGTCAAGATACCAACAAAATATCACCTATGGAGTACCCAGGGTAAACAAATATATTTTCCTCGAACATATTTGGCTATTACAAAGCACGACAAAGTTGAATGATAACTCAATTTATGAGTATATTAAGTTATAGGAATGTGCCGACTATTAATAAATAACAACCGTTGACGTATTTTATAACGCAGATTCCTATAAAAAAATGTTATTTTGACTTGTCGATATTTAATTAAATGAAACTATTTTACACATCTTTACATCGTTTATCGCCCGGTGTCCATGAATGCAGTAAAAACCAATATGAATCCTTAAAAATGCATTTTTTTAATATATTATTTAACATACATTTATAATATTCGCATTGACAATCAATCCCGGACATATTAATAAGACTCCACTTAATAAAAAACTTATTAAAAGGCGCTAACAGAAAGTAAATATTAATGAAATTGTTCATTTGATCTGCTGAAAAGTTTTGATGTTATTCTTCGATTTTGTTTATTTAATTTTTGTATACTAACATAATTGGTGTTTTACAAGTTTGGTTTTATTGTTAGTAAGGTAATATTATATACACATATTTATTAAAGTTAGAAATTTTACAAAAATATCTTCCCAGGTTTAATACCCTTGTGATTACTAAAATTTTCAAAGCCGGACATTAAATTAAAAGATACGTTTTGGTACGCTGTGTACTGTTAATAATGCAAGAGGGCGGGTCAACGGTTTATATACGCGATATGTTGTCATGCGATGTAGGTATAAACATTACGTACACGTGACTCTGAAAAGGTTAACTCATATATTTAATGTAACAAACATCGCTTATTACGAGCAGTATTGTTGAGTTTCCCTTCGGTCAATGTCCGAAATATTCTCGTTTTTTGACATAAAAAAAATCATTTAATTTATTTCATTGAGAATTGAAAAAGATTTGCTTACTAAAAAAACTAAGATAAAACCGGTAAGAAATTCTAGACGTGTGAAAATATGTTTTTTTTTTTCTATAATTTTAATAGAACAGTACTGAATATTTATATATTATTTAAAATTTATGAAGTATTGGAAAATCATTAGGAGAGGAAAAAAATTGTGTATCTTGTTTTAATTAAACGTCCAATTACGTGAAGTGTAAAGAAAAATAGGATAATCTGTTAGTTCAACGTTTTAACGAGATGAAAAAGTTGAATAAAACCGCATTTATATCGTAAAGAAGTAAATGGTCATGGGACGATAATAAAAATATCAGCTTTGAAATCGGCGACACCGTTTAATTCGTTTAGTTACTAACAAGCGTTGTAATTAACTGAATTAAGACTGTGCCATATAATCCGGTAAAAAGACAATTGACCCAGAACCAATTCATGGAGTACCTATTATACAAATTTGTGTTTGTGTGATCTTAATGAGTTTTCTACCGGCATGTGGACGTAACGCGTGGGTTAACAAGGAAAAAGATTTTATAATTGGGTGCTGTTGCCGGATATTTCGATTACAAAGTAATTTTGAAGTCTCTGAACACGCCACAATTCCCACGAATTTTACAAACCAAATAAAATTTTTCGAAATTAATGAAATGCCAAAAGACACAATGACCTAAAAAAACACCATCAGGTTTTAAATCGTACGTTATTATTATTTAAAAAATATGGTTTTGATTCAAAAGTATAAAAAATTATTGTAGCTTTTTACAGCTTAAGGATTAATTTTTATTTTTAGTTCTAGTATACGCAACCAATATGAAACTTTAATTCTTATTATTTAACCAATATGAATTTCTAAGTTATTACAGTTTTTAAATGAACCCATTAAGTAGTTTCATTTAAAATTACATTAAATGCAAATTTTTAACATAAACCACGAAAAGAATTTTCAATAATAGAGTAGTCGAATACAAATGGAACGGTGACGGGTCGCCACCCGAAATAGCGCGCTGTTAATCTGTGACCTTTGTCTCAGACAGCTACTGCTGACCCATGCCTAATTTATTAAAGCAACTCGCAGCCATTTCTTAACGACATCCAGCGACGGTACCTCTATAAATTTCTTTGTTATTTCCCAATATAAAGCTTTTTATGTTTATTTCCTGATATCCAGAAATTTTACTTATGTACTCCCTATATATTATTGACAATGGGATATAAAAATATATTCTAAAAATGTATATATAGTATACTAGCTGGTTTGGCAAACGTTATTTTGTGGAATTTCGTAAATACCGTTCTTAGCTAACCTCTACTCGGCGAAAGGAATATTCCTGCCCAATTTCTTATCAGAGATATCGTGATGAGTCAATTATCGGTGGAAATATTTTATATATAAATATATAATTACACATCTATAACACATCTATACATCTATATCTATTCAACCTTTAGTGAGAAAATTAGTTGGTATACATTTTTTTTTAAATTGCCGAATATCTAATATGGCACATGACAGAGTTCGCCGTCGTTCGATGCGCCTTAGTGTTAGTTAAAGTTCACGAAAGGCCATGAAAACAGCTTTTAACTCTATGTAAATTCTTATCGTATTAAATTTTGCTGTAGCATTGACGTTTTGCCTTCAAGTAAACGTGGATCATAACTTGTAATTTATTTAGTTCTTATTATTTTTAATTGTATCCTATTAAAAAGTAAAAGTAAAAACAAATCGATACATGGTTTATTAAATTAAATACTAAACTATTTAAAATTTCATTCCCTCTTATCAGTTATATCAGATTAGTTTAAAATGTATATTTTTACTTTCGAATATAATAAATAAGCTTTATTATTATTAGTTAAGTGGTAGCTGCAGCGAAGATAAACGTGTGCTTAATGTTCGTCATTTTCATTTTATAGTAACAAATATTCTATTCGTAACCGTTCTTTTTGCGAACAGCTCTGTGATTGTTTAATTCTACGAAAAATGGCAACCATCCGTAAGCTTGTTTGGACACTCGTGACCCATAAACTGCCGACGCTGCTCGTCCGTCAAAGCTTGTTCCAACGACAAATCGCTGATGTCGCCCCGCTAACTTTTTGATTTATTGCCGGGCATCCATTTGAATTCCCCTCTTCTGCTTTTTCACAATAGGAGTTGAGTTGAGGCATTAATACTCCTCGAAGGTGTTAGTATTAGGATTCTTTAAGAGTTTCCTGTATTATTGAAGTTCGTATATAAAGCTATAGGAAATTATTTGGTTTAGATTGTTTATTACATAATTCTATACATTGGTACTTATCATATACGTACAGTCACTAATTAAACAGTTTAAATCAACTCATGTCATTAATTTAAACTATTTGATATGTAGGCAGTATTTTTGTAATAGTTGGTACAGCAATTGATAGTCCAAGACTTGGGTTCTTATTCGAACCCAAGTCTGCGGTTTAAATAAAAGAGAACAAATAAAGTAATACAAATAAAGTTGATTCTTTAAGACATAAACGGTAAATTGCAACAATTTACACTGTAAATTATTTAAGACTTTATACATTCAGTACGACTAAATTCGTTTGAAAATAATACGTGATGTAATCGAACGATCCAAATTGTGATATATTTCGGTTCAAACGTAAATATTTGATGACTGCGGCAGACATTACGAACCTGCGGATGACGTAGACATAATAAAGCGGAGCTGTCAGCGGGACTTACATAACATCGTCTGTATTTATAGGAAATACAAAATCCATAAAAGTTTAGTAATTAGGAAACAGAATGTTAGTATGGGTAACATCAAAGTCAAAGGGGGAGGCACAATAAAGATCGAGTAGTCATTGAAGTTATTGAAAGAATTGAAACGAAGACTAAAACTGTATATAATTCTGTCGTTATAGCAATTTTAAATTTGGATTTTTAGGTTCGTAGGAAAATTTTTATTTGTCAAAAAACTCAGGTTTAATTTATCGAGCCTACGGTGAAAATTCCGTTCCCATCATATTACTACAAATATTTATAGAAATAAAAACAATAGGGATTGAAATCGGGTTGCTACTGATAAAAACATAGAGCTGTAGTTAGTCATTACTTATGACATTAGTAATTTAAGACGAAAAATAAACATAGGAATGAATATTTACGAACAAAGATTTCGAAAGAGATCCCACCTCAATAAATACAAAGATATCTAAAATATATTTGTTGTTGACCTATTCTTCGTTCTCTATTTTTCTCAAAATGTAATTGATTCTTATACTAAACACATAACGTACCACTAACTAAACTTCATTATTACTTAACCGAAACATCCAAATAGGTATTTATATCAAATCACTATCGATAAAATTCGTCTTCAACATTCGTTGCAAATTTTAAAACATCAACTTTCAGCTACTTTATTGAATACGACGACGTGGAGATTTACACGGAATTCACAAAACGTTCCTTTGCTCTCGGCACCGTCGCAATTCTGCCTTTGAGCTTGCAGCGCTAGAGCAAAAAGCAAATGTTGCTGGCAGCCTCTTTATAAGGGCCCTCGCGTTTGGTTCGTTAACCAAATTAACGTGTTACACCGGAACCGGTTTTCAGTTTGAAGACAGTCTTCCTCACAGAAATGACTTTGAATTTTTCCTAACCCACATTATATATTTATTTTTTTATTTTAGTCATATATTTAATTTGATCCCTCCGCATTATCGTAATAGTCTTTGTTTTTTATCTTAACGTATCTATTAATTATAATTTTTGTAGATAAATGAATGTATCTATTATTTTTACGCTAAAAATTTAAATGTGTAACGGTATTTAGTAAAGAAAATTATAACTTATTATCAAAATCAATATTTCGTATTTGAACTACATTAAGTTCCTATTAAGCTAAGGTGAAAAATTTTTGTGGTGCCTGCCTGATCAATACCTAAACAATACTGTCATTCAACTTATAACGACTGCTTGCAAAAAGTTTGTCCCTACACCACTCACTGCACTGCCTTTATGACGGCATTACTGAAATTCTCGGTACAGAATTATAAAGTAGTTACTTTCTCATATACTTTCCCATTAAATTGAAAAGTACATTGTATTATTTTTCTTATCAACTTTTTGTCGTCGCATTATGATTTTCTGTTGGAAATATAAATTGTATTCCCAACCGTCCGTCGTATAATGCTTCCGCCGCCACTATAAACTATTTCTACATACCTTGAGGTTTCTTTGTCGATCCCTCGAGAAATTAAGTTTAATTAAGATTTTCTTCTTAAAAAGATTTGCATATACATTTTAAGCTTCATGTTCAAATGCTTTTGAAGAAGCGTTTTAATTACCAACGCTTGAGAAAAATGTAAACTACAATGATGGAAAAATAATGTCTCGGAATACTTACATGTGTAAAATAATAGTAATAAACTTCGACCCCAGCGTCCGCTAGCACTTCGGCGAAATAATTAGTGGGGCATACAAAGAAATAATCACCCACTACGTCCGCTATCATCTTCTGGTTCAAATATCCATCGGTGATTTCTTCCCAGTCCGTGTACTAAAAAGTAAAACTGTATGTTAATAAACGATATAAACTCCACTGGGTTAGAAAGAACTGACTAATGCTACCCTTACTTCATTAGACTAAACTATTTTTACATACGCTGTTTTAACGGTTGCAGTACGGCGGCTGGTTAAGAGAAGCAGAAATATTTGCACAAAAAAAAATTTAAAATGGCAAACATGTTGTTAATGGATGTCCTAACAAAAGCAGATCCATTCGTGCAACAGCGAAGTCTGTTGCGTGGCCCTACTTCAGTGAAAATGTAATGAGGTACCCTGGCCATCGTTGGATGCCGATTGGTACCTAAACCAGGGAGCCAAGTACATTCGCAAGTGACTATCTCTCGTAATGAAGTATTTTAACTGCAGTAGTTTAACGCCTGTGCTGTGGAGAAGAGGAACCCTTGAATCTGTCCGAGAGAGCGACACTGCATCTCAATCTAATAAATCAGGAATCTATAGGTACGTACGTATGGTGTCTCGGGCAATACGACCATGCAGTTTAAGTAAAGTGATATCCTATATGGGAAAAAGGTAGAATGAAAAAATGTAAAAAGGTAAGATTCCTATGCTATTATGTGGTGTTCGATAGATAGGCTCCTAAAAGTTGATAAAATTATGTCATCATCGCCTAATGTTGATAATCCTCTTTAATGTTGAATTTCACCAGTCATGTTTCGTCCCCAGCCGCCAAGGCTGCCCGGCGAGACTTTGAGATTTCTAACGGTTAGATCAGGACTAGCTTAGAGGTGCCACTATCAAGATAAAAAAAGATCAAAAGCTTTCATCCGACCCAGAAAGAGAAGATAACTGGTTCCGGAGTATAATGACAAAAGTTTGTGATATATATATATGCCCCGCGCCAGGAAAGGACGATGATTAGTAGAAGTTTCGGTGATTAGTAGAAGTTTCTCGAATTTGTACAGTCTGTCTGATCCCGTAGAAGACGGCTAGTTCCAACCGAAAAAAATTTTCAAGGCTTTTTAACCTTGGAATAAGCTAGAATCCAGACTTGCAGGAATTAGTGATCACAACATTTTCTCAGTGGACGTTCACGCCTCTCAGGCCAACTAGCTTCATACGAGTGGCAAAACTATGCAGGTCTGCACCAGTCCTGTGACTAAGCTGTAAGTCGCTCGCGATAAAGCAACGCTGCGCCAGGACTCGATGAAATACCAGCTCGAGTACGCGTAGCTAATCGTACTGAAGACAAGTTGAGTTATTCACTAACTACCTCAAAAAGTCCCTATGAAGACATAAGACAGGACATTGTCCCTATATACTTAATGTACTACTATTGTCAGGAAAACATCCGACACGTGAATGTGAAGTCAGTAAATTTAAAAATGATAATGTTCTAATCGAAAGATGATGTAATTATATTTGTATTTTGTCTCTCACAGTTTCCCAAAACTTCTTTATAACAAACTGACAACAACAGCTAATTAGACTCACCTACGAATTAAAACAAAAAAATGTGTTTTCTTAAATTAATAACAAAATTTACCGATGAAAAGTGATTTTGGTATTATAGTACGATTTTCCTATATAATTGCGACACGATTTGAAAGCAATACAAACCGGCATAGTTAATTACTTTTCGTGAGCACGTTATCCGTTAGTGATTCAAATGACACTGACGTAAGTGAAACGCGAGTCTACCAATGTAGTAGACATTTTTTGCGCCGTTCAGTACGGCTAATGGGATATATAGACTAATATATAAAGTTTATAATATACTCATACCATACAAAACTTTCACCAGCTTTTCAACTTAGGACTTAAGTCATGTTAGGTACTCTCAATCAAATCAAACATCAATAAATGTGTTGTACAACATTATTCATGATGTTGTAATATTGTTGCATGACACATATAAATCTAACAAAAATCTCATATTATTCAAAATTCTATTATAATTTGTATTATTGCTGTGGCAGGAGATCTGCGATCGTAAAAATTTGCAAAGTGGGGAACATATTATGTGGTTCTTGGCAATTTCAAATGGGATATCCTCTTTAACCGTATGTGAGCTGCCCAGCGCATTACGCTATTTTAGCTATTAACACAAACAGTAAAATATGGATTTCAGGAATTCATTCTGAGAATTTAATGGATGAACAGTTATTTTTATTATCTTTGAATTATTAAGAGATATGCGTATTGTGTTTTAAACGCATTGTCATTCCTGTGGAATATTCTTATGAATAGCGTTATCGGAACAGTTCATCTGTGACTCTCACAACTACTTATTCGATATATTCGTAGTAGAAATTGACGGCTAATCGCATATGTCTCACAATATATATATATATCAGTTATCATATCAGTTATCGTGGTAATACAAAGTTGCACAGCACTTTGCCAATTAGTGCCAGCAGAATCAAAGAATAAATCTAAATACACTGAAATTTGGTACTATTTCAATGTTGATTTACGTTTGCACGCAAGCTTTGTTAACACTGATAGAGAATAATAAAAACTAAAAGAGAGTTTTCAACTTTTAATGAGAATTTAAATACTTACTTGGAATACGATAGCTTCTCTCTTAATTTTCGAGAATTCCTTGAAAATTGTATCGACAATCTCTAGAAACTTTTCTCGTTGGAGAAAACTTGGCCCGTCTTTTTCGAAGTAATCCAAGAAATCATAGAGTAAGAAATATGTACCTGTGAAAAATAATATTATTTAAAGTAGTTTTTTTATGCAATATTGAAATGTTTTAGTTTAGTTATAAATAAGATGTTAACTTGTTCAAATGTAAAAAATGGGATGATGAATCATCTAAATGTAATCATTAAGAACAATTGCCCTGCAGTTGCAGATAGAAGCGAGTCAGGTAGAATTGGCTTAATCCAGTTTATAAAATGTACGTAACACACGATAACGATGCCATAACGGTCGGGAAAGCAAATGTTTGCAAATCTCCTTCAGTGTTCCTTATTTTGCTGCACGGTTCTTTAACGCCGCATAAATCGCCTTCACGGGTGAAAAATGCATATCATAAATGTGATAATCCGTATGCACTGAAGATAACGAGCCTAGGAGGTGGATTCACTACAAGTTCATTTTTACTACCATAAAACAAAACCGAGTTTAAATATCTCGCTGACTTCATATACAGTTTTACACAAAACGTTTTATTTGATTTTGTGAATTTACCTAATGAATCTCGAGTGAGCAAAGAGATCAATGGAATTATAATGGTGGTCCCCCGTGGGAGCTAAAAACGAACCCAATGCAAAAATATTTTTTAAAGTTAATTCATAAATGGCGGTCTGTCTGAGTTAAGCATACATAAAAAAAATTTTTTTCGAAGTCGGTTGAGAATTATGTCACGAACTCGTGGCCATGAATTGCAAATTATGAATTTGGTCCGACGTATTATTCATCTAACGACATTGTCAAAACACAGTCAAGGGCATGGTCGACTTGCGTATAATGAGATTTCTTACAATACAAAGGTTAATACGTATATGAACAATACGAATATCTTTGTGCATATTATCGTTCTGTCTCTCTGTCTATTAGATCCATGAGTTATAACGGAAGCGGTAATGACGAGTTCAATTTGATGTAGTCGGGCGGAGAGCGAGGCGTTTATCGGATATCCGTAATAGGTCGAACACGCAGTTCCTATTTAACATTGGTCCATTTTATTTATCAATTGATTTTCGTTGAAAATATATTCTAGTTGTGCGGTAAATCATACGGAACCGCAAATTGGGGCGTTCGACAATTTGGAAATAATAAGATTCACGTGGCGGGCGCCGCTCGTCTTCGAGAAGTTGCTCTTATCTGGCTGGGCAGAGGGGCCGCGTCTGGGTGGGGTGCGTGGCAACACGGCGCCAGGGGTGGGTGGGGGGTGACTCTCCCGGCTACGTAGGCGAGTCTGTAGTACCTGGTAGTACGACTAAAAATCCACAGCGTGTTATTGTTGTGTCTACACAGCACTGCGCAGGCGTGCACCTCCCCGCCGCACAGTGCTGGCAGGTGTGTATGCCTCCGACTCTCAAACGACCTCGAACTCGCCACCCGATATTGATAAATGTTGTTTTTAAGCCATCAAAATTACAAAACTCAAGGCGTTGTCTACTATATTACTTCTGCGTTTAACGGAAATCTGAATTTTTACCTTACCCACCACCAAATCGTTTAATTATAATGAGTAGAATCCATTGTAAAAGTATCTATTTGACGCCCAATTCATTTCCTTGTCTAACAACTTGATTTCGGCCATTACACGAAACCGTTTTTAACATTGTCCCATGCTGGATGTTAATAACCGTACAAATAAACAGGTTAGCAAAAATGCTGTACGTATATTAATGCGCCAAATTAATATAAATCGATTTTTAATTTGCTTTGCTAGCCTCCTGTAGTCCCAAGGAAGCGATGACTGAACGTCGTGAAGCAGGGCATGAGAGCCAAAGGACTGACCCCTAAGAATGTCGAAGATCAGGCCGGTGGAGGTTTTAAGTAGAAAGGCAGACCTTGGCAGTAGCCGGGATTAACGCCAGGTAGAAGAAGAAGATGATTTAATGTGCTTTGACCATATATAATCGGCCGATGAACTAAATAGCATATTTCAATCATAACATATAAACCTGTCTTCTGGTTTCGATGATGTATGTATGTATTGACGTAGTGGGTACTGACCCTGTCTCTTGTGCCAGAGGGTGTGGGTTCGATACCCACTACTGGTAAAATATTGTGTGATGAACATAGAGTTTTTCTAGTGTCCCGGTGTTTATGTATCTGTTATATATGTTTATTTACAAAACAAAAGTAGGTTTAAGTATGTCTATCAATTACATAGTGTAAAATACTTATAATATCACTAATCACACTATTCGGCTGCCTAGGTAACTATCCACAACACAGGTCCACACCGTGCGACCACTCCTTACACACTCAGTATCAGTCGACTCCCCCCACTATATATCACTGGACTTCCCCCACTATAATACTCTCTCCCACCTGTACACTACACATAGTATCCATAGTACAAGCTTTGCTTAGTATGGGACTGGATAACGTTGTGTAAAAATATGTCCCGAAATATTTATTTATTTATTGTGTCATTAGAAAAATAATATAGTTTTAATAATATAGTAATATCGTACCTTCATCTTGATTACTGCCGAGTAGAACTTCATTGTTATGAAAATTCCCCTCCTTCATCATTGTATCTGGGTCTTTGGGAAGGAATACACCGTCAACGGTTGGCGCCGACGGGAACCCTAATATGCCCGTGTAAGAGTTCCATTGTTGTACGGATATCGTTTTCGCGTCAACGCCGCGCATACAATCCATTACAAGACTGGGATCAGCTGATAGCAGACTACTGTTGCAATTGCAATCGTCGACTAAAACTTTACCAATATCCTGTGCTCTTTCCCCCGTCATCCAGCTCCACGGTGCATTTAATGTTCCAGATTGAAGTATGCCTCTTTTGAATAATCCTTTCATTTCCGGTGATAGCATGTGCAGACTTACGCTGCCTCCACCCGCCGACTCACCAAATAACGTAATCAACTCAGGATCACCACCAAAAGCACGGGCATTATCCTTGATCCAACGTATAGCCAATTGTTGATCCCACAAACCCATATTTCCCGGTGCTTCCTCGCTCCCAGGCGAGAAAAACTTATTCAAATATAAAAATCCAAACGCGCCGACCCTATATTGCATAGAAGCTACTATGACGTCGCTAGAAGAAGCCATTATATCCGCCTTGTAGAGGTCAAGTGTAGCCGTGCCACTCATATAACCGCCGCCGTAAATCCACACGAGTATAGGCACTTTGGGCCGTTCAGTTAAGGGTTTATCTTGATGATGTCGGACACGTAAATGCTGCGGAACCCATATATTTAGGTATAAACAGTCTTCCGATATATTAGTATTTGGATTCCACATTTCTTCGCCCTCAAATCCGGGGAAATATTCGTATCTCTCTTGATAACAGCTGTTCGGCATAGATGTCGCTTCAAGGACCCCATGCCACGGGTCGATTGGAACAGGTTTACGGAATCTCAATGGACCCAGAGGGGGCTTCGCGAATGGAATACCAGTGAATATGTGCACTTCTCGGCCCATCACAGTTTTAGCGTAACCTTTTACAAGGCCGCTTTTAGTTTCGACGATGAGAGGATCATTATGGAAATTCTTTGGTGCTTGGGTGGTGGTAGGTGTGGTCTGAGTGGTGGAAGTTGTAGTGTCATGGTGATTGGCCCACGATCGGCTCCAAGCACCTGACGCAAACAGCACCAGTAAAAGCTTTGTTAACACTATGTTGATATGGCTAGTCATTGTAATGATGTCAGCCACCGACTTGTCTCTAACAGGACGCGAACTATAATCTGAAATAGTCCGCTAGCTTGATCAGGAATTGCTTTAAACGCATTTCTTTCTTCTTCAACCCCTTCTGTTTGTCGGCTTTCTGCAAAAAAATAAAAGGCATTAGTGCGTCGATTCAATTCAAGTTAATGTTGCAAATATTATATTATATCGCTTGTTCTTGAGTGTCTGGTATATAAAAAAAGAGAGCATAAAAATTATAAATTAAATAAATTATATACGCAGTCATACATCCTAATATAATGTGTCGTCGATTAAAATAAGGAGAACGAAACATGTGCGATAGATGTAATAATGTAAGTACATGAATACATGCATGTCAAAGGCAAAGGCGCATAAGTCAATTTATTCCTAGACAGCATAGCTCCTGCATTTTATATTAGCATCAATGATATAAAATATTTCGCGTAACAGTTACACTTTAATATAGCTCCATTACTAGTCATGCACTATTATAAAATCCCTCGTTCCCAAAATTATTGGTTCCATTCCATTTAGACTAAGATCACGTAGTCGGAACCTCAAAGAATCATTTTACTACCTTAACTTATGAATCCACCAGAATATAGTTTGCTTTATTAAAGTGTTTTCAAATATGTATGTTTGACTAGGTGGCCCAGTTGCTAAGCTATTGGCTTCGGCGGTGGGAGTCGCTGGTTCTGGGCCGGTGTTTTTGTTCCTAAGGAGGACTAACGTCAGGCAGACGACCTGTCGTAAAAACAAGGGCGAGTGGGACTCCGGCACGAAAATTCCGTAAAATTATCTAAAAAAACGGCAAACAAATCATGTCTGTTGTATGAGAGCTCCAATTGAATATATTTCATTCTGTTAAAAAACATTTGTTGTAATAGCGGCAACAGAAATACATCAGCTGTGAAAATTTGAACTGTCTAAATATCACGGTTCATGAGATACAGTCTGGTGACCGACGGATAGACGGACAGACAGACAGACAGAAAGACAGACTGCCTAGATAGGCAGAGGAGTCTTAGTAGAAGGGTTCCGTTTTAACATTTGGGTACAGAACAAAGCCAAAATTACGCCACAACATAACCCACACGTTGTGGCGACCCCACCTAGGTGGGATAAGGGCATCAAGACGATGATGATGATCTATATTGTATAAATGTAATATGTAGGTTAATTAATAAGAATATTTCACTTTCGTCGTAACAATACTCTACTGTCAAAGAACCCCAAACGTAAATCTAAATAACTTTGGAAAAAAAAAAACCTAATTTAAAAAATTACTGCTTCAAATTCCATTCCGATGTTAGTCAGATTTTAACTTTAACTTTCACAGGATTTTAGCTCCGTAAAAAAAATCTGTCTAGTAATTTCTTAAACTTATTATATATATATAGTCCATCGTACGACAATAATATACAAAACAGTATTCCTTTGGGCATAGATTGAGACATGATATAAAAAGCTATGTTTCAATTAAATCTCACATGCGCTATATATAATTCAAATATCGCCAATGTAATTTTAACACAATAAAACATTTATAACATCAAGACCGCCTACAAAAGTAAATTGAATGATCAATACCCCCGAAGCTATACCCAATTGCTTTAAAGTTGAACTTTATTACAGACAACGGTCAATCAATCACAATCTTATAGCAGCGAGTAGTTTGAAGCAAACTTAAATCGCCTTTTACCGTAATTCGCCACCAGACTCGAGTCTCTGATGTTACAAAATCTTAATTGACTTCACCTTAAGTGGATATCAATACTATACTTACATCAGAAGTGTAAGCCTTTTTGGGCGTTTAATCTTATATCCTAAGGGCACAAATTCTAACCTAAGTTACTTTGAGATTTATTTATTCGAAAATAATATGAGCTTTATATTAAAATGTATTAATGCTACTTAGCAATTTTTTATCATAAACACAACCTTGTTTTATTAGCTATTTAATATAAGTGATGGTATGAGTGACTTTTGGAGTATTAGTCTTTACATCGCTCTTTGAACGGACAAATCATTCCCTACAATCCCGGTCCTCGACCGAAGTCAATCGTTATTTCATTGGCAGACGAAAGGATCCACTGGGGACACGTAACATTGTTTTCGACCTTACAGGCTACAGGAGGTTGAGTATAAATATTAAATTAAGGTACTGCGCGAAACACGTAAAGGTATACATGTCCTGAATATAAACTCGTGTTCAAGAGCTTTAACATTGCAGCGAGAGTTCGTTAGAGCTAAATGTAGATAATATAAACTTAAACTTTATATATTTTTCTTTTATGATTACTGAGAGACTTTGTCTATCCACATATGATGTAGTCCTGTTAAAAACTAAATTTGATAATGATAGATAAATGGGTTAGATTAGTTTGAAATAGTTTCGTTTAGGAATTAAACATTATATTATTTAAAAAAAAATATTTATAATTAATAAACTTTTTATTAGTATTAGTAACTTAATAACTCTTGAATTATCACAGAGAGAGATTTCAACAGAAATTGATATCAAAATTTATATGATAAAATATTCAACGATAACACTTGAGATTTTGAACTGTTCTTTATTCCATATCTCATAAAACATGTAACAATGTTTATAATATCGTAATTTAGCTACGCATTATTCAGCACTTAGCTTGACTTTACGTTTTTATTATAGTATTATCAATGTACCTTTACTTTGTTGAGAGAATGTATTGGATTTTGCTTGATGGGCGTGGTAAGTTTTTAAACAAAAACCTTACACCTTACGACCTTAACATGAATAAGAAAAGTTAACCACATAAGTTACTTCTGCGTTAAAAGTAAAAGTTAACCACATAAGGTAAAGACCATAAAAGTATCAAGATAAGTTAGACATGAGTAATTTCAAAAGTGATTATTTTACAATTTCGATCAATGGTCCAAACACTAATTCATATAAATGATTCTAGCCAATTTAATAGTTCTAGAATTCTCTCATAAATATAATACTAATAAATAAATACTGCCATTAACGTTAATTTGCCAATAAATGTTAATCTAATCCGAAACTTAAGTGGCAGACATTATAGACCCCCAAGGCTGCAGACATAAGGCTAGCGAAGCACGAATAATAATTATAGTAATTAAATTTTGGATTATTTTGAGAAGCCATTACAATATTTAAACATCAAATAAATCCCTTCCATGCCCAGAATAGCAAAGCACATCAAAGCACCGTTTGGCGAGATCGGCGGCTGGCTCCCGCGGGAGGAGACTTCGTTGCAAATTAACTTAAGGTCGCTATGTATGCAGACTATCGCGTCATGTAACGAGGTCCGAGACCCCACGGAGCCCCACACTACATACGGGTAAGTTTACGAAGCAGTCTTCACATATTTATACATAGCAGATGTAGTGCTTCAGAAAGATCTTGTACTAGGGTGGTTTCTAATTAAAATTTGCTTATTAATTCTGGCTTGAATAGTCTAGATGCTAACTGCTGACATAACTTCTTTTTTTTAAATACATACTTGGGTATATGTAAAGTGCAATAATTCTTGTGATTATTGACAATTATATTCTTACGTGCGAAACTGATGCAATGATTAGAGCAGAGGTACTTTCCATAATCGATATTTTTGGAAATGGAAAAATAATTTACAGTAAATAATAGAATTTTAATAGGAGATTATTGGTCGTACACAGAAATGGCCCAACAGGTCGTTAAGTAAGCGTGACCACAATCAACCTTCGATTTTTCTTCTGATGTTATACCCACATTGTAAGTAGGTTTCATGTTCAAATTTGAAATCAAACTATCGTGGATTTCAATAGATAGGCGTGTGGTTGTACTAAAATTGACACTTTTAAAGTTGATCTGAATTAAAAGAAAGGTTAATATCAAGCGATGGACTATAACTTCGCTCATAAAAGCGAATAGGCACGACTTTGTCCGGGATAAAGGGCTGTCATCAAATTATGAACGCCAGTCTCGTGTCAAGAGCGGAGAGCGGCGGGATAAGTCGTCGAGCGAGGCGAGGTACAGGCGGGAGCAGAGGCGGGGGCGCGGTGGGTGATAGAGAGGTCGGCGCGCGCCGCTCGATAAATCGATGTGGGTAATACAATGCTATGCGGTGGGACGGCCTTGAGCGCTGCAGCCTGCAAGACACACCTCCGCCCTACTCCCCAAGTTCAATGCCAACTCGCAATCTTTCTATACTGACATAATAAATATCAATATCAAATGTGCCACGGGTATAAGCTCATGCCGTATTTTCGTCGGCTTTTAAGCTTAAGTAATTTATACCTGAATATTTAGGGTATGATCATAGTAATCAGTAATGATAGGATTTCATACAATTAATTACTATGACGCTTTTCAGTAATTTTATTTGACACAAAATAGTTATAATGGCAATGACGCAGTGTATCTTTCAAATAAATACCTGATTTTTGTTGCCTTTGATTAAATGTTGTTCCAACAAATAAGTGAGCAAAAGAATGCGGACTAGAAGCTTCATTCGTGGCTAATACCTATAGAGCAGACGGAGACTGTCGAAGTAAACAAGTCCATGTCTAATGGCTCTGCTCGACGATGTAATAATATCAAAGATAATTGACTAAGAAATATAGCAAGCGAAGCCAACTAATAGAATTTGTTAAAGTCGCTTCCTCAAAACGTCGAAACCAAGGAATATCTCAAGACCTCCTCATACACAAAAGTGGGGTGGAGGTAAGTTCAAGGGCTTTTCATATGCCCGTACAAGGTTGACATTTATTAAATTAAATGAAATTTTATAGCGTTTGGAACATTAAAAACGAACAAAGCAGTTATTTTAAATATACATTATTATAATCTTATATCATCGTGACACTTCTTGAAGTTTAAGCTTACCTATACCAGGAATTAATGTAGTCATAAGACGGTCCCTTTAGGTTTATGATTAGTATAAGATTACATTAAAAGTTGCCAGCTATTTTATCTCTGCGAGGAGGATAGAAAATCGCTGGTAACTTTCCTGACTCTTAACGAGGGGTAAAATTAATTGACAGCCTCAAAAACTGTTAATTGCTTGACTACCATAATTGCGAGTCATCGCCGTGGTCTTTATACCGTATAAATTAAAAAAAAAACATCATCACAATGTATACTATACATTTTTTAACATCCTCATCATAAACAACAATTATTGATTAATAAATCTTATTTTAAACTTAGCGGTAGCTTACAATGTGTTTTAATAAAAGACATTAGTCAAACAGCAATTACTCCCTGAAGATTAAACGATAATTTATTAAATAGAGAGAGACTACTGAAAATTTGGTAGCAAGTTGCTGTCTAAACTTATAAATTGTAAAACTTGATTTAGTCGGAGCTGGCATCGCATTTATAATTTTGATGACTCCGTGGCGCAGTTGCCAAGGTATCGGCTTCGGCGTCAGGGGTCGTGGGTTCGATTACCACACGGGACAACTATTTGTGTGCCCCACAGATACTTGTTCCGCATCTGGGTGTTTGTCCGCGTGAAATTTATGTTTGTAACAACGTCCTTGCAACACAGGATAATGTTATCCCAAAGTAAGGGCAATGTTTTACCATTATTAAAAAAAAAAATTATGTTACATATTTTCATAAGCAATGGGAAATTCATTGTAATATACATGAATTAACAAATTTAAGGGATATCGTTTTTGTGTTCGCTCTACGAAAAATCGATACCGAAGAGTGAACATTACTTAATATATTACAAAATCAGTTTGCCTGTAATTTTGAACGAAAATTTGGTTCTGACTGCTTTATATTTCAAGGACTATCCTATATTCGCAGAGTCAAAACCTGTAATGTATGTGATGCGTGCCCAGGCTCTAAGATTGTATCACCAACCTTCATTGGCGTAATTATTCAATTTTCCCATAAATGTACACCAATACATTTGCACTTTCATACTACTAACTTCAATAATCTCTAACGAATACATTAAGTTGTAGAACTAAATAACTAACTAACTCCGCTGGCTCAACGACCCGAAGTAGGTCTTGGCCTCCGATACGAGTTGGCGCCAACGCCCACTGTCTTTTGCAATATCCTCCTAGTTTTCTGCGTTCAAGGTGCGAAGGTCCTTCACCACTTTATCCTTCCAGCGATATCTGGGCTGCCCAACCGGCCGTCGGCCTCCAGATCGTCCATCATAGGCTCTCTTCACTGCTCTGTTCTCTCCGGCATTCGTTCCAGGTGTCCAAGCCAGCGGAGTCTCGCGGATTTAATCTCGCCCATAATGTTGGATTCAGACACCATATCTTCTATCTCCTGGTTCTTTCATATCCTCCAGGTGCCGTCTTATATCTGCATGGGCCGCCAAATTTTACGAAATATTTTCCGTTCGGCGACAAGAAGCTTTTTTCTTCCTTTAGTGTCCCGCAATCAGCCTGATGGTATTTTAAAGTTTCAGAGTATAGAGAAGAGTGAGTTTTTGTCTATACTGTCGTAAGCTTTAGCAAAAGTCAATGAAGAGTGCGTGCATTCCTTGCGCGAATTCCCACCTCTTCTCCATGAGCTGTTTAAGTAGATATATTTGATAGATCAAATATATCTACTAGGTACTATACAATAGATTGTGCTATGGTTGCCCCGGAACCCACACTGGTTATTAAAATTATCTCCGATAATTTTCTCTGCATGCTTCTCTAGCCGGGCCAGTAATACATATGAGAATACCTTGTACGCCGTCGGGAGTAGTGCTATATCTCGATAGTTTGAACATTTCTTCCTACATCCCTTCTTCTGTACGGGGCAAATGATTCCCACATTTCATTCTGATGGCTGGTGTTCTTGTTGCCATATTAGAAGTAGCAGTACGTATAATCGCGACTAAGCCCCTCCTCCTCCGTATTTCCATAGTTCCCCAGCCAGTCCGTCGATCCCAGGAGCTTTGTTATTCTTGAGGCACATAATGGCCCTATGAACCTCCTCAAAACATAAGGGTTCATCATTGTCGTTGGGTGGTTCACATTCCTGTATGTAATTTGTAATCACTGGGCAGTTCAGGAGATCCCTAAAGTAGTTCCTCCATCCATTTTTGATCTCAGTAGGGTCCGATATCAGATTTCCTTTAACACCCTCCAGCAACTGGGTTGGTACCCTATACGTAGAGTGTTTACTTCCTGGTAAAAATTACACTTAATAGCTATAATAACTAAATAACATTTATTAACTAAATATATTTACAAATTATTTAATTAATTTACCGGTAGCGTTGTACCATAAGGACAAAGTTCTTTATTTCTCCCAAAGGAAACAATAGACACAAATGTGTTGTTTAGTAAATTATTCATTCTGACTCCGATAGACTTGGACGCTCCATTTCCCGGTAAACCTTCAAGGATCGATAAGTGAAAACAATTTGGGAGCGAAGCTAAGCCATTAACTTCTTTTAATGCTTATTCCAACCGCATCTTGACTAAATGCCGTTGATAAATAAATAATAATGGATGTCTATCAAAAGTAGCATCAATGCGGAACATTCGCCGTTATACAAGTATAAGATTACCATACTATTATTATTCTGGAAGTATTAGTCGCCATAATAACGTTACTTATTAAAGGCAGAGCATTGTCAAGGGAATGAAATGAAGTCGCGTGTGCAAATAGTTCGTCATATATTTTATTGTATAAAAAATATCCTATACAAATTTTAAGTCGTTTATACTTTGTTTACGTAATATCAACATTTTAAGTTGCTATCGATAATAAATCAATAATTTTTTCGTTAGCAACTTAAAAAACCAATTATTAAACCGAACATTTTTTTTTAAATTACAAGTTACGTACATTTAAATAACATATTTTTAACATTTTTAAAGATTTTATTAGATTACAGCTTTGGAACAATTTTTAACATTGTTGCTATACGGATAGCTTATAAGTTTAACATATACCTTTCGCGGGTAGGTGCTGTGTAGACAAGACGTGTTTTATTTGTTCTTTAGTGTAAATTTATTTTGAGTTAATTACAGTTCATGTTGTACTAATTACACTACCTGCCAACATTGTCCGTATTCTTCTACAACTATACTATTCTCTTAATATGGAAGATCTAAAATTAGCACTGAAAAATATGTCAGAAAAGTTCACTGGACAGATGGCGCGCTTTGAGGCACGCCAAGAGTCCAACACTCCATTAGCCGCAGAATTTCAAGAGTTCAACTCCTTTGTGTTGACTGCATTATCTACACTGCATTGTCAGATTGAGATGGTGGCGCAAGATGTTGAGCAGCAGGAGATACGAAGCAGAAGAAAAATGCTCCTTCTTCACGGCTTGCAGGAGGTCAAGGGTGAAAACCTCGAAGATGCAGTTGTGAAATTAGCCAGGGATAAGCTTTCAGTGAGTGTCAGCCGTGATGACCTACACCATGTACACCGTATGGGTAAAAATTCCTTAGATAAGGCGCGGCCGCTTTTGATTAAATTTAAATCTCAGGATCAGCGGAACGAGATATGGTCGGCCAAGACGGGTTTGAAGGGCTCTGGGATAACATTGTCTGAAGTCTTAACAAAGAAGCGGCATAATGTATTTATGGCCACACGAACGCGCTTTGGTGTCTCTCGCTGTTGGACCAGAGATGGGAGCATATTCATTATAACGCCAGGAGGAACTCGGCACCGTGTGGTTACTATGGCTGAGCTGGAGCTGATTCCGGACTCCGTGTCTCCTCGAGATGAGCCTGGCACGACATCGAAGAGATCTGTGCCGAACGTAGCAGTTGCTGTGGGCTCTGGACAAGCTTCCTCTGTGGTTTCCAGACAGGCCAGAGGCGCCAACCCGAGGACACTCCGATCCGTGGTCAAAAAACAAACAACAAAACAAACATGAGCCTCTTCTTATCTGTTTTTTTCGGTAGTAAGTACGGTAGGTTTATCTTGTTCGTTGTTTTGTTTCATAGTCTTTTTTACTTTTACCGTCAAAATAATTGTATAATTCTGTTATTATCGTAATGTTTCTTTTGTTTATGTAATTTTTTTTATTATTTTATTTTTACTTTTTTGTTTTTTTTCTTTTTTATTGTTTTTCTTCCTTTGTACTTTATACTGTGGACAACTGGCGGGTACTGGATGATTAGTCGATATCAATTTAATACTCTATTTATCGCGTTATTTTAGTATATTTATTAACTGTTTATATGTTATGTATAAACCAATATGTAATAATAACGCCGATTTAGGTGTTGGTAACCAAAGCGATGATTTCCTTTCTTGCTCTTCTCTTTTTGATTCTTCTAGTGAGAATAGCTTTCATAGTGCTCCGCTACCGTTGTGTGAATTTCTTGAATCAGAGTTCCGTGATGTAGCTAAAAACTTTAAAACGCTCAAAGTATACCAGCTCACTATGCTGATGTTCTCGTTACATTTGACAATAAAATTATTCACGCTGTCTTAATTTCGGAAACCTTTCTTCATCCCTGTCTCCCTTCCACGTCCTACTCCCTGCCGGGCTTTCAGCTTATCCGTAACGATCGCTTGAGTACTTCGCATGGCGGTGTAGCCATATATCTAAGAGCCCATATTCCTTACTCTATAGTCAGTAAATCTCCCCAGCCACCCCCTCCCAACTCAGCTGAGCATCTCTTTCTGGAAGTTACCCTGTCTCACACTAAAGTACTCCTCGGTGTATATTACAGTCCCTCTCTTAGAGTGAACTTTTTCCCTTCCTTTGAGCAACTTCTTGAGGAGTGTAGTCCGTCCATCAGTCACACCATAATTATGGGTGACTTTAATACATGCCTTCTCAAAATGATATGCGTTCTCGTAGCCTCCGGTCCATTGTAAACTCTAATAATCTTCATATTCTTCCTCTCAATCCCACACATAACTTTCCTAATTGTATACCTTCTCTTCTAGATTTAATAATCACTTTCTCACTAGATCATGTCACCAAGCATGGACAATACGCTGCTGATGCCTTTTCCTACCATGATTTAATTTATTTGTCGTAAAAAATTCGTCCTCCAAAACCAAAGCCTCGTACCATTTTTCTGCGTAACTTCAAGGATATGGATCATGTTCGTCCTCTCGAAGACGCACGGAACATCGACTGGTCGGTGATTGATTGTGCTGAGACTGTGCACGACCAAGTGGCGCGATTTAACTCCATCATTACACAATTGTACGATGTTCATGCTCCTGTACGCGCCATTCGTGTTAAACACCTTCCTGCTCCATGGTTAACGGATGACATCAAATTACTTATACAGAAGAAGTTGAGGGCCAAGACTAAGTTTAAAAGTAACCCATCCGATCGGAATCGGGATAGATATCATTCGGTGAGGAATCGTTGCAACACGGTAGCTAGGGACGCTCAAAGACGCTATATTCACGAAAATTTAATAAATGGTGATCCCCCAAAGTGTGGAAATTTCTTAGTACATTGGGTGTTGGCCGTAAATCACGTGCTATTTTTACTGCTAAGGATGTAAACCTTGACGCTTTAAATTCACATTTCTCTTCAACCTTCCCTCTTAACAATAATACAAAGATAAAAACGCTGAATATTCTTTCATCACGGCAACAACCCAATCTCCCTCATTTTTCTTTTCGTCAATTTTCCGTTTGTGATGTCAAGAAGACCATATTATCCATCTTCTCGGATGCCATCGGAAGCGATAGTATTAGTCGAAATATGATTATTCCTATCCACACTCAGAGACATCGTCACTCCTGTCATCACCAAAATCCTAAACCGGTCAATTACCTCTGGCGTCTCTCCCAAAAAAATTGAAGCCATCCTCTTTCTCTGATTATCGGCCTATTTCAAATCTTCCTTTCCTCTCTAAGGTTCTCGAACGACTAGCACATCGCCAGTTAAACACTTTCTTGAGTCCTACGATCTTCTTAACCCTTTCCAATCTGGCTTCCGTTCCGGTCATAGTACGACTACTGCTCTCATAAAGATCTCTGATGATATTCGCTGGGGTATGGATAATCAGCAGCTTACAGTACTAGCGTTACTTGATTTTAGTAATGCTTTCAATACTATAGACTTTGACATCTTACTGGTGCTGCGCTCTCTTAACATATCTCCAACGGTTATTGACTGGTTTAGTAGTTACCTGTATGGGCACAAGCAGCGTATTAAGATTGAAGATGCCTTCTCCTCCTGGTGTGATACACGTGCAGACGTACCACAGGGTGGCGTTCTTTCCCCTTAGCTCTTTACAACATTCATAAACAATTTAATACATTCTTTAACATCTTCGTACCACCTGTATGCAGACGACCTCCAAATTTACTCACAGGCACCCATTCATGACTTACACGTAGCAGTGTGTCTCTCTCGCATATCCAAATGGAGTCGCTCTTATGGTCTCACGGTGAACCCTAAAAAGACTCAGGTAATTGTGTTGGGTAGCCCTTGGTTCATATCTAGAATTAATTTTGATCAACTACCTCCAGTTATGTTTGATGGCGTCCATATACCATACAGCGATACTGTTAAAAATCTCGGCGTGGTATTTGATAGGACCTTATCCTGGAAGCCACATGCTGCTGCCGTGAGTAGAAAGGTGTTTGCAGCGTATCACTCCTTAAGACGACTGCGGAATCTCTTACCGACCAGCACAAAAATCTCGCTTGTACAGATCCTACTTCTACCTATCCTTGATTACGCTGATACATCTAATCCCGACCTTACAGAAGAGATGCTTAGTAAACTCGAGCGCCTCCAAAACCTTTCTATTAGATTTATGTTCAATCTATGCAAGTACGACCATGTCTCTTATCGAGCTGAGTTAAATTGGCACCCGATTCGTCGTCGAAGGGATTTTCACGTTCTCTCCCTACTTTATTCTATTCTGTTTAACCCTTCGACACCTTCGTATCTAAAAGAAAGTTTTGAATATCAGTCCATTTCTATTGATCGTTCACTCCGTTCTTCTCGTTATCACTCGCTTTCTATGCCTTCTCATACCACTGATTTCTATGCCTTTTCTTTTACTGTCCAAGCTGTGAAGCTCTGGAATTCACTCCTTGTCTCTATAAGACAAGCCCCGTCCCTTTACTCTTTTAAGAAGCACCTGAAAGCCCATCTCCTTTCCCTTCCTGTTTAATTTCATCGCAACGTTCCTTTTTCCTCTGAGCTTTGGTTGTCAGTTTTTGCTACTTTCACACTTATTAATAAGTACTTGTTAATATGTGTATATATGTATGTGTATGTATGTATATATGTATATATATTATAGTATTGGCATTTATATTAGGTATTTGTTATTATATAGATATGTATTATATTTGATGATTTTATTTTTCTACATATGTATTAATGTAATTATTTTTGCACCATTATCCCGCAACTTTATTATCTACATCCTATACCCTAAGGTTGCCTGGAAGAAATTGTTACCTTAGCAATAAGGCCGCCTGTTTGTACACTATGTTTCCGGTATGTTCTTCCTTGTATTTCCTTGTGTGCAATAAAAGTATATTCATTCATTCATTCATTCATATACCTACCTAATAATGAAAATTATATTTTAGCAAAATTATTTTCTTTAGTCAAAATTAAAGGGTAAACAATTCAAGTAAATGATTAAAATATTTATTCAAAGAGTTTTTTTAATCTTCGTAGAAAAATTCCATGATTTATAATTAAGCTGTAAAAAGCGTTTCCGTTGGTATTTCCGAGACCTTGATGCGGCTTCTAAAGAAATTAACATATTATAATTCTTAACCTAGATTCCAGAAATAGATCTCTTGAATGCAATGTTTTATTTGTTTTATAATTTATATAACATTATATTAATTTTTTTAATAATTTATATAACATTATATTAAATTTGTTTATAATTTATATAACATTATATATATTTAATTTGGGGTAAACTTTATTTTAGTTAACGAATTAAATTATCTAAATTAGTTATCTGAATATTCTGATGAAAAATAAGAAATCATAATAAACCAATGAGCACTCAACAAACTGATACTTAAGTTTGAAAGAAGATTAAACTTTATATATGTGGAATAATTCTAAATTTAACTATTTTAAACCTAGATTCTTGTGCATAACTACTAGAGTATGGCACTTTGCTTTTAATATATTCCATTGTTCCTCTCTTGCAGTTGAACCGTTTTCAGTGCAAGCTTACATAATTTGTACGCCTATGCGAATATTTCATAGAAAATTTCAATGTACCGTCGATTCATCAGCTCCCTTGTGTAAATACAGCATAACGTATGCAATATTAGTTATTGTTAATGAATAAGACCACTACTTGATGTTAGATGAAACATTTTAAAACATTTCAACATGACTTCTGGGATTTTTAAAATTATGATATGTTGTTCAAAAATTATATTGCGACTCTTGCATTGTTCTTTACTTTTAGTTCCCTACTTAAGCCAATCTATTCTCCAAATAGTGGTACAATTGAAAGAAATGGGGACGCCAACTTTAACAAAATGCATCACGTGAATTATTTTTAATAATCGACCACAAAAAGTGATTAAGATCTGATTAAATATTATAATCCTAGGAACAATGCAACTGTTTGATAACACAGTGTTCACTGTTGCACGAATGGGCAGGTCCGTCCGGGTAGGTACCACGACAGAAGACCGGCGTAAAGTAGAAGTGTTGAACACTTCTGCGTTTCAGCTGGTCAGTGAGGTAGCCGGGGCCCACTTTATTTTAAGGTGGCAACGCATTTGCAAGCCTACGGGTGTTGCAAAGGTCCATGGATTACCGTTATCCCTTAACATAAGGTGAACCGTCAGCACTTTTGTCACTTTCTCACATAAAAAAAAAACAACTATTCCCCAACCACAGCATATTCAAAACGGAGCAGAGATTCCAGAGATTAAACTTTCCTCGTGTAA